TTAATGATCTTCGATTGTATCTCTATTATGATGACATGTAGGGAACTTTTGAGAATGTTTTGGGTTGTCGAATGATGCCATCCAATCCAATAATATAAGGAAAATCTGAGGGTTAACTAGTGATGTCACGGTTAATTTGGGGCATTGTCGTTCATAATTCAATGAAGGAATAACTGGAAATTGATTCATATGCATAAATATCATGTGTGGAGAAAGAACCTTTAGCTAATTCACCAACCATCTTATTTCATCAATTACATTCATGTTTCGTTATTTCAATTTTCATCAAATCTCAATCCCCCTTTTGCTTTAATGTGCAATATAGTTAGAAATCAATTTAGTTTGTGTTTTTAAAGCATTTTGATTCTTTTGGTTTGTCTTAGTGTTTTAACGTTTAATTTCACATTCTTTGAGTCTAGTTTAACATTTTATATTGTTTTTACGTTTTAGTTTAAATTCGTCCAAATCCAATTCCCCCCTATTTCGTTGAAGTCTTAGTCTTAATCTTTCTTATTTTTAGTTTTGCTTTCTTCGAGCATTAAATAGTGTTTTATATTGTGTTTTTATGTTTTTAAGTTAATTGAGAAGGTTTTAGCAAGCCCTCCTAATCCCCGGTCTAGAACGATCCCTCACTTATCCATTCTACTACAATTGTCAAACGAGGGTTTAATTTGAGTGTCAAGTAATTCTCGCATCAGTCAGCTGGAGTCACTTAATATGACTTGTATGACTAAATCTATAACTCATCCATTTAGCCAGAGCCACCTAATATGAACTGTACGACTCAACCAATAGCTCAACAAGTATGCCTGCACACGAGACGGAACCACCTAAAGTGGTATGTATGACAGGACTGGGTGTAAATAAATACGTTCAAGTGCTACGATCACGTGAAGACTGTGTGAATGATCGCGGGTCACCTACAAGTCGGAACCACCTATAGTGGTCTGTACTACAGGACTGTGCACCTAACTTGGATCCAAGTTGAGCATATGGTGCAGAGGTGAACATCACATGAAGGACTGTGCCCTGACCAAGGGTGGGAGCACTAACACTGGGGTACACGTTTATGAGCTATAATACATCTCAACATAATCATGCAACTCACATCCACAATCTATAAACTCACCTGGCACTTACCTGAGCTTCTGCAGTCAAACATAAATATGTGCAACTACTAAATGCATATTCTAAGTATAAAATATTTGGCATGGCATTTTAAAAACATAAGTCCATTTAAATAAGTTTCTGGGAAAAATACCAAGCATATATATATACACTGAAAACCAAAAGCGCACTCACTAATATGTGGTAGGGTTGTAAGTTCGTAAACCCCGAGCCTCGCTTGACTACGCTCGTCCTTCGGAAACGTCTCACCTATATGTGAAACAACTATTTTAACGTTATTTTAAGCACATAACCAAAACTAGGTAATAATTTCTTATACGTTGCTCAATTGGGGCATTTGAATATACCATCGTGGCCTACTCAATCCCACGAACATCCCCATATTTTGGAAAAAATTTCTAAGTTCCCACGCGCAAACATGTGCCTGGCACACTGACAAATTCCCTAACGGCGTTAAGGAATATTCTGTTAAATAACAGCATATACCATTAATTTTACCTGATGCCGTCAGCATATTTCGTCAAAATTGACGGAATATTCTCCTTCTTCTCCGATGGTTTGCCGGATTCCGGCGCCAACTACTGTTGTACTCGTCGGTTTCTGGAAAAACTTAAAACTTGAATATCTTCACCATTTCTCAACCAAATTTCATGAAATTTGTACCAAAATGAAGCTCTAAACGAGTAGAACTAGTTCTTACCACTTTTACGTCCTAAACCCAATGGAAAATGCCCGGAAAAATCCTTGAAAGAACCGGTTATTCCTGCAATCCCACAACCAAGCTCATTTCGACGTCCAAACTTAACCAAAACTAGCCTCACATGCTAGAGAAGATGAATGCTTACCTTCCTAAGTCTTAAATCTAGCTAATATCTTCTTGATCACATAGAAGAAAATTCCACTCCTTGCCGGAGCTTGGGCATCTCGAGTTCTACTAGTTTTTTCCTCAAACCGAAGCCATGGCTTAACTCCAAGGTTTGCAAGGATTTCAAAAACAACCTCTACTAGCTCAATCTGTGAAAGATGAAGCTAGTAGAGAGATTGGACGTACGGATTGTACAGACGAGGAAGACTCGAGAGAATGAGAGAGAGAAGTCTATACGTGTGTGTGCACGTGTGTGTGTCCAGATTGGGTATCCATATAAAATCCTTAAGCCCTAATTGGGCTACCAATTGTAAGCTAAGATTCATCCAAAACAATCCCAAGTTTCAATTGGGTCCAAAGAAGTAGGAAATGAAAATAATTAGTCCATTTTCTTAGCCCAATAATACATTCACCACCCAACGCTCAAGGGTAAAATAGTCATTCCACGCTGTCGAGGATAAAATATATTATATTTCGGGACGGGTTGTCACACGTGTGCTTAGATCAGCAAGGTAGAAAACACAACCAAAATGTATGTGTTTCCTATAAATGACTCCAAACTGTTAATGCTCAAACTTGTAAGGTTAACAAACTCAATTAAATTACTTTAGATGGTCTTAAGAAATGGGCTGAAAATAAATGGACTGAAAGATGTAGTGCACCCTTTAAAATTGGGCTCCGTCCACTGTGTTCATCAAAATATATTGATTTCAAAACTAAATAGCGCTCGGCTAACACATTCACTATATCCTCTCCGACTCATCTGACACCCATAATGGAGGTCTCTACCTCTTTATAGAGGCCTCTTCTTCTTGAGTTTCAAAACCAATATTTAATTTGCTAACCACTTGTACTAGTTTACCGATAACTTTCTACCTATTTGGCGAATCCTTTATCAGCAAGGTGACATTCTAGCAATCGGATGACGCATCTTTTAAGGTTTAGGCGGCCCGAGTGTCCTGTTCGAACCTCATTCATCCTACCACACCTTGCCGAGCACCACCCTGACTGCCTTTATGTCTCATCCTAGGCCTTTGTTGTTGTTTGCACATCATGGTATGATTTGAGTATCAGTTGAGTCATTTTGCCCTTAGAGACTTGTGTCATAAAGTTGTCAGCTCGTCTATATGTTCCACTCAGTCGGATAGTCTGTCTTTTGTCTCGGTCAGCCTAAGTACTCGGGTTGGCCCCTTTCGAATCCCTTGGGCTTTGGGACTCTTAATCTTTCCTAGGGCTTATGTCGTTTGGTGGGCCTAAATGGCCCAGCGTTAATAATATGCTTGCGTATCAATTTTTAAGACCTTGGCTCTTTGGATTCAAATCCACTTTCAGAGTTCGTTTGATGAATGCATTTCAAGTTTGACAAAATATAAAAAATAAAATTGACTTTACCCGTTCAAAAAAGAACATTTAAGGATCCAACTAAATCCACCCTCAATAATCATTGAAATGAATCAATTCAATTGTATTTTGAAAAAAGAGTGGAGACCCCACCCATGTCTCTTCGCCGTACAACAACGACACCGTAACGCACACAAAACAAATTGGAAGGTCAAATCACGGCGGGGGGTTGAGGGTTTAAAGCCATAAAGAAAGGATATTGTTACTTAAACATTCTTATTAATTTTACAGCATTAAATTTTTTTTTTTTTTAACTCATTGAGTTTGACAATCAAAATTGAAAAAGTGTGAAAAATAAAAATAGATAACATTAGACTATCCTAAAAATTATTTAAAAGCCTGTATGGCAATGAGCTGTGATGGAGGAAGGAGGTGGCTACCATCCATTGCAATAGCACGTACACGTACACATCCGCACGTCACCCGCCCTAGTCCAAAGTTCCAGTTCCCCACGCGCATGGAGTTCATCTGTTTGCATTGCAACTTTTCGAACTTATGTTTTGTTTCTTCTCTATTTTTTCTTGGCTTTGCTGAGGACTCTACGTTCATCGATCTCACACCACAATTCACCTTGATATTAATAAGGCCTTTCCATTTTCATCTCTATCCCTCTCTTTTTCTCTACCACATAATATAGTCCATGTTTTCGTTTAATTTGCTTTTTGTCATCATCTCTTGGTAATGGAAACTCCTATTCGATGAACAACCGTCACGTATAAGAAACAATATCACATGTATACTCAAAGCATATATGTATTTCTATACACATGTACGTATACTTCTATCAAATTTGTATATCACATGTATACTTATGAAGTAAAATGTGATGTATACATGTGTTATATAAACGTTCCAAGCTGGATAATGAATTTGTTAAAAAGTCTCATATAGGAAAAGAAAACAATTTTGCAATTATATGGTTCCCAAATTGTTGAACACACATATATATAACGCATTAGCCACTTAGTACTATAATTTAGTGAAACTTCTTTTATAAAAATTTTAAATTCAAATCTCGTATATGACAAGTTTGATATCTATTTATTCTTGCTTGATGTACAAATTAATTAAGCAAACAAACGTCCCCACCTACCCCATCATTTAATCTACAAATACATTAATAATATATATTTAATAATAAATCAATGATTTAGTTGTTACTGTCACGAACGCAAAGCTGATTTTTGTTTTGAATAATCTACCCTTCTTGTTATTATTTTTTTCTACTTGGTTCACCTTTTTGGTATCTCAAATGGATAATCTCAGGTAACTCAATTGTTTAGATCAAATTTGTAAATCATATGATATATCATAAGTATAAAATAAACACGTTAATTAATACTTAATAACTCAAATCATATAATTTATAATACATGATTTAAATAGAGAGTCTCTTTTAACATTAGTACCCATCTTAAATAGTTAGATACTACTACTCAGAATTAAAAGCTGTCAGAGACATCTCCTTACTTTCTCAGGATATTATTAGCCAGCAGCTCTGGGCATAATAAAATGACCCGGCACCCTATCCTTCTCTTCTCATCATTCTCCCTTTTCCCATTCTCAAACAGTCGGGCCCTGCTTGTTCCATACACAAATTTGCACAATATAATTGAAGCAGCAGCAGAAGAAGAAACAACCATGTTAGACTATTAGTATATAATTACCCTCTTCCCTCTCAGATCTACTACACCATTACAAGTACTCAAATCAAGGGCTCTCTCAAAAAATGAGCCAGCGCGTTCCTAGCTGGGATCTTGATGAAACTACTACTACTCCACCTGCTCCTAGGCTCTCTTCTCGCTCCCACTCCCTTCACACAGCACCTACAGATGTCCCTCTGTATGCTAAACTCTCTCTTTCTCACTGGTTTGATTAGTTTTTAAGGGAAATGATTTCCGTACTATTTTGCTATGAATGCACACTCCTGTTTATTTTAGACTTTGAATCGAGTAAGTCGAAGGAGAATTAAGTGGCAGAAATAAACGGAGAAGAAAAATGATGTACATAAAAGATTACCCATTATTAGTGAATCACTTAAATTATTTATACATTTATGTGCAGGTTGGACTACGAAGTAGCAGAGTTGACATGGGAAAACGGCGAGGTAGCCATGCACGGCTTAGGACCACCGCGCCTGTTGGCGAAGCCTTTATCTATGACTACTAAGTACACCACCTGGGACAAGCCCCGGGCAAGTGGCACCCTTGAATCAATAGTCAACCAAGCCACATCCACAGCTTTACCCTGTCCTCTCAAGCCTCCCTTTGATTCTTCCTCTGGTGGCGGCAGCGGCGCTAAGGAACTAGTGACCTGGTTTGATCGACACCGTGCTGTGGCAACGCCCTCCACCACTGTGACTATGGACGCATTGGTTCCTTGCAGGAACCAAAGTGATGACCCAAGTAGTCAAATGATCGAGTCCATATCCATGCCAGGGGTGATTTCTGGTGCGGGCATGGTAGGATGCTCCACTCGAGTAGATTCGTGCAGTGGCACCACTGGTGCCGCCACACACGACGATGACACCCTTCTTTCTGGAAAAGGAACGAGCTTGGCACGTGTCCCTGAAACGCCTGAGTGGAGCAGCAGATCGCAAAGTGTGAGTGGTAGTGCCACGTTTGGGATCGATAGCCAACATGTTACACTTGACAGTACAAAGGCAAGCGACTATGACTCCGTTTGTCACAGTAGACCACAGGCAAACTCCCTGTTTTACTCCCTAAATATGTGCATACGTGTTAGATAATTATATCTGAATTATTATTTGAATAATATAATGGATTTGTTGGTTACTAGGGTTTCCGTATTTTATTTTTATTTTTTAATTGATTTGTTATTTGTTTCTTTATTGTTTTTTTTTTCTTTTTTTTTTTTGAAGGGGGAGGTAGGAGATGAAGATGACAGAAAGAAACGAAGTACTGGAAAATCTTCGATTTCTACAAAAAGGAGCAGGGCTGCCGCTATTCATAACCAGTCTGAACGAGTATGCTAGCTCTCTCTTTTTATCCGAATTGAGCCTTTAGAAATACAATCCAGTCATGTATCTACGTACAGAAGAATTTTCTTTTATTTGGACAACTTCTAATATATACTTTTATTTTACTTTGAAAAAAAATTCAATTTTAGTACCTAAACAAAAAGCTGTCAATGATACTTCAAAATTATGATTTCTCTCTCAGTTTACTTTGTCGCAATAAATGAACAAATTAATATATATCAATTTTTTTAATGAAAGGAAATGAATAATATAAATACAAAAATATTACTCTTATCCTACATGTATTTATGAGTTCTATTTCTATTTAAAAACAATACAAATATACGATAAAGGTAACATTACACATATAAATATGTAAGACGAATTTTTCAGTTTTTTTTATCAAGAACTGAGAATGTAACATATATATCAATGATTGGATTGAGTATAGTCTATACCTAGTGGATCCCAGTCTAAAGGTAGGTGATGAGCATTTACAGTCCGATAGAAAACTGCTTGACCTCTTCGGATTCAAATTATATATCATAACTGTTTCTTATTATCACAATAGCCGTTTCTTACCTACAGAATTTTTTTTTTGGAATTTTAACGAAAAACTTCGGGTACGGTTCATTTTAACGAAAAATCATATTTTTACACTAAAAAGTCAATACTATTTATTTTACCTTTTATTTTGTAAACTCACAATTTTCAAGCTCGTTTCATTAATTTTTTTTTTTTTTTCACAGAAAAGGAGAGATAAGATCAATCAAAGGATGAAGACGCTGCAGAAGCTGGTCCCAAATTCCAGTAAGGTATGATGTTCCACTTTTGGGTTTTGTGCACTATCTTTCTTGTTTTTGTTTCATCGAATAACAGTAAAAGTGAAAAAACCTCGATAAATGTCAAATTAGATGTCAATATGAGTTGTGTTTTTTTGGTGACCTGATAATTAAAAATTTATAATCACTCATATTTGAATTTGATATTAATAATTATATTTAAAATATTAAAAACATAATATTTATTCTCCACATTTTAAGAAATCTAAAAATAAGTGATCATACATATTTTAGTCATCAGATAATCAATAAAACGTTTCTTGTGCTAATATCATCTAGTTATCATGTGGGGCCTTGTAGTTTTAGTGGTACCGTAATTATTCAAACACTCACGACAAGAATAGGTACCTTTCAAGTCCTCAACATCTTCTAAGCCAAAGGAAAAAGATACTAATTATCACTTGAGATTTCACAAATTGTTCTCATCAATTGGGAGGAAATGCATGCATGCCCCAAGGGCCGCTATTGACAGAAAAATAGTCACTTCAGGGTACTTTTGGTTTCACATTTTGATTTATAAGCATGAGACAGGTCTGCCGATTACCATAAATGTTGTCCAAAATCTCATTGCATTTGCATGTGGTTGTGTGTGTTTTTGGTGAATTCAATGATCCTAGTCCACACATCCATTTTGTAACAATGTACAATTGAACGGGAGGTTGTTCGCTATGGGACAACTTCCTGATTCCACTTAAATATTTCCAAGTGGTAGGCCCTAATCCTTGTGTATTGTGATCCTCTCAAATAGATGCCTTTTATGGCACCGGTTTACTTTCGCTTGACATTCTTAAAAAGTGTCAAAAATAAATAATGCTACATTTACCACTTATTTGTATCACCTCTCTATTAGAGATAGAGCTCGCTAATGCATGTTAATCTCATCTCTATCAGAGAGATGATAGAAATATGTGCTAAGAGTAGCATTTTTTTTTACCAATAAAAGACACGTATTAATTCTTTCCCCATGTCCTTGTGTTATTAGTACGACACTTCACTGTGACGGTGAATTCGTGTCATACAAGTTGTTATTCCCGAATAAGAATAACTTTCTTCGTATATTATGAATCTCTAACCTGATGTGCAGCTGTTGGTGAATGATTTTTTCACCACTTACATACTTAATTATTTCCGTTGATTTTTCTTTGATTTGTTCAATCTAATGCCTCTTAAAAAGAAAAATGGTAGCTTAGGGTTGAAAAAAAAAATGTGCATAATGGACAAAAGAACAAAGAAGTTGTAGAAATGCGGTCAAACTCTGAAGAGTAAACCTTAGAGGTATATTTTGGGTTTATATCCCCTCAATCTGTACATATTTAATCACGTGAAGAGTAATGAAGAATAATAGAGAATGAAGTGGTATAAATCCATAACATGTAAATTTCTAACATGAAACATATATGTAGTAGTGGGATAGAGATTGAATGTGAGATTAACCGTAGGTTTTGAGAAAAGGAATTGCTATTTGTACTTCAAAATTCTTATTTTGCACTCTTCACAAGTTTTTTTTTTTGCTTCTAAATATAGAAAGTTTGAGTGCAAAATGAGAATTTTAGAGTGCCAATAACAGCTCCTTGAGAAAATATAATTGGATGTACAATTTCAAGTAGTAAAATTACCTTCAAAGGGTACATTTAACATTTTACTAAAAATTTAATTTTACTCCTTAAAATTCAATTTAATTTAACACCATAGTAATTTTTCCAAACATAATTCAATGACTATGTCCAACTAAGCAACTTCCTTAATTTTGACTTTGCACAATTTGTATTTTTGGGTGTCTAAAATAATCTTAATGACATTTGACATTTATTTAGTTAGTTACTTGTTATCTTAGCCCTTACGGGCCCAGAAGGGATAGATAATCATTGATTGCCCCCAATTGTCCCCATTTAAAGGAAAAAAGAAGTAGTTACTTGTTATCAAGAGTTATTTTTCAAATTAATCAACGCAATTAAATGTCACCTGATGAAATAAATCTTGCGAATTGAAAAAATAAAAAATAAAAAATTTACTGCCATGTTTGAATGCATACTAATAATAAAATTACATTATAAAATAAATTACTGTTTATTACATATTATATGTGGGACTTGCTTCACATCGAACTTCAACGATTCAAATTGTCTATTTTGTAAGTCTCGATTCATAAATTATCCTTGCAAAAATTCAATTCAACAATGAAATTTCATTGTTTCTTATAGAACAAAATGTTCGTCAATTTCTTTAAACTCAATTAGATGTCTCAAATATTTCTGATTTGGCTAATATTTTGCAAGAGATGATCTATGAGGTGCAACTTGAAAACTAGATGGTTTAGATCATTGAAGTTCAATGTTGTGTGGGCCACCACTAGTCCTCATTTAGAAAAATTGGAAATCCCCTCCTATAAAGGCCTCATATACATACATATATATATATATATGTGTGTGTGTGTGTGTGTGTGTGTGTGTGTGTGTGTGTGTGTGTGTGTGTGTGTGTGTGTGTAAAATAAAAATACAATATGCCTAATCTATGTGATAATACATGCAAAAAATGTTATTTGATTCGAAACCGCGCCTAATATATGCAATAATACATACAATTATATCTCTAAATAACCAACATTTTTATTTCAGACTGATAAAGCTTCAATGCTAGACGAAGTGATTGAATATTTGAAGCAATTGCAAGCACAAGTCCAAATGATAAGCAGAATGAACATGCCTACCATGATGTTACCAATGGCCATGCAACAGCTTCAAATGTCTATGATGGCCGCCGCCCCAAGAAACATGGGGATGGGCATGGGAATAGGGATGGGAATGGGAATGGACATGAACAACATTGGCCGCCCCGGCATTCCTCCGGTTCTTCACCCATCCGCATTCATGCCCATGGCGGCTTCTTGGGATGGCACCGGCGGTGACAGGCTACCAGCTGCTTCAACGGGAGTAATGCCTGATCACTTGTCCGCGTTCCTCGCATGCCAATCACAGGTATGCTTTGAATCTAGAATTTAATTTACTGATTAAATTTTATATTATATTTACAATAAAACTATTTCGACAGACAAAGCAGTATTAATTAAAACGGAGATTATAGCATTGCCCCCTTAACGTTTGTATTTCGAACTTTTTCGCAGCCTATGACCATGGATGCTTACAGCATGATGGCAGCCATGTATCAGCAGTTCCATCAACCTCCAGCATCTAGCTCTAAGGGCTAATAAGCAAGATATCACATGCTCCATACTTATGAATGGGCAAGAACTGGTTTGAACGTGGATTTCGAATACTATGGTGCAATAATGTCTTTGATTATATCAGCTGGCTACATGTATATGATTGGTATCTTTCAATGAGAATCAATATAGAGTAAGACCTCTTTATATTACACAGTTGAGACCGAGTCATATAACTTTAGGAAGATTATATTACTTAATAGATGTGTAGGTAAAACATATTACTTTATTGACTTATTCTTAATGAATGTGGTATTTTCTAAGGAGGATTCCTTAGGCACGAACTATTTTATTTCCTGCATATTTTTGTACTCATTAACAATTATAATTATGTGGATGTGTGTTTCATTAAGATGGACTAAGAAAAATTATAACTTATTATAATATGAAGTTTATTCCAATACATAATTGGTCCCAAGTTGGGACTGAAATTTTTTATGACTTCATGAGATTATTCCATTATAGATATTACTTTAGAGAGGTTTTATTTTATAGATATTACTTTAGAGAGGTTTTATTGTAGTATTAGTTTTTTATTCCGCGGAATGATTTGAGATCTTTGATTTCGGGTGAATTGTAGTGCACTACAGGGGCATTCTGTGTACACTTAAGTTTAAGTTTCAACTAATTGTTGCGAAAATTATAGTAATCAAAATTAAACAAATGCTCACAAGCAAGTATATGAATCAAAAGATTGTACATGAAGCAACACAGATTACCTTCCCACAAAGATTTGATTTAATTCTAAGAAACCTTACCTAATTAAGTTAAATTATAACTAATTTAAACTTGAAAATAAAAATTGAAAAGTTTTGTTGAAAACAATTTGTGGTTGTTGAAATTGACTTTGAATAATTTAAATGCAAAATACAAGGATCACACAAGCAAACAACAAATCAAGAGGGGAAAGTACAATAGCATCACATTGACCGTAACAAATCCTACTAAATTCTTTTAGTCCGTTATCAACTAGCAGTAATTCCCTGTATATATATTCCCAAATTTTGTATAATATTAGTTTCATTTGTTTACTATAAATGCCCTTATTTGCTAACTATCAATGACACTTAATATGACAAGCTTAATATTTCATTTGTTTAGAATAGTGAAGAAAAATTACAAGCTAAATATGACCATATCTTTCCATTTAATAAAAATTAATTAAAATCAATTCATCCTCTTCACAGTCATCAACAGATGACCAACATAACATGCAATGTTTGCTCAAAGATGGACATTTAAATGATTGGATGCTTATTTGTCAACTTTGATCAAAATGTCACCTTGGCAAAAGGGTTCACTCATCTTATCATTATACTGTACATTGAATGACTTTGGCCCGTTTATTGTTCAATTGAAATATTGGAAAATGTTAGGGTGTCTACATTTTTATATCAAATTGATATATTATCTGACGTGATAAGTGATACATACATGTTGTGTCAAATAATGAGTTTATCTCATTATACATCATTTGTCACATTATGTAGTAAACACCAGAAAGATACAAAAAATATAATCTCTCTAAAACTAGCTTAGAGTTTCATTTCATGTACTTAAGACACCTAGCTCCATTCATGGATTCAACTAGTAAAACAACAAACTATTGTGGTAGAACCAAATTCGTGTACCATCATAGAAGGAGGAGTTATACGAGTCTGACTACCTGTAAAAGAGAAAACAACCACGATTAATCTTAGGTAGTGGTTGGATACCAACGAAAGGCTTTTTGACAGTCAAGTTATTAAGCAATATAAGACTCAAGCAGTGTGAAGGGGATAAAGTAAAAGATAATTGCATTACCCGACAAAAACCCTAGATGAGTGTATTTATACTAGTTAGGAGAATGACCTTTTAGGATATGGAATCAGTATTAAATTAGAAGAATATAGGAAACTAGTCTAATCACCAATTGGATCAAGAATCTCAATGAAGTCTGCAGACTTCGCCTTTGTTTCCAGTGCACAGCAGGATGTGGTGGCATTGCTTGCCCATCTGAGCAACTCAATCATATCAAAGTTGTTGAGTCCATGACCGGACTCTAAGGTATATGCATTCTGATCCATCATACTCCAGCTCATCCTAGATCCGTTTGGTGTTCCACTTAAGGATTCTCGAGCGTTTGCTGTATATTTGTTAATGATGGAGCATTTTGATTAGCTGGAGTAAATTCTTCCATGAAGTGTGTAAGTGCCTGGACATCATCGAAGTCTTGGGGCGATAGATGATTTCATGTTGCCCCAGTTTAATGGCCCATTTGGTGATTCTAAAAGATGCATTTAAACTGTGCAAGATAGATCAAAGCGGGTATTCTATCATGTAAATGACTCGAATGACTAGAAGTATGGTCGGAGTTTCCTGGTTGCCATCACTAAGGCTAGAATAAGCTTTTCAATCTTCGGGGGTATCTAGTTTCTAGTTCGAGAAAAGCTTTAAACACATAATACACATGTTTCTACTCCTCGAGCCTTCTTGGAATAGGGCTGCACTAACCCCATATTCCACTATTCGTAGGTCTAGAGTTGTCTTCTACTTTTCTTGATAGTTGTGAAGAAAGGGTTGTACTTGTCAATAGACCGTGAAAGAAATCGACTAAAAGCGGCTGCTCTCCTTGTTAGACTTTGGATTTCTTTCATAGTTCGAGTCGACTTTATCTCTAGATTAGCTTCATTTTTGTGCTTGGTGACTAGATAACCTAAGATTTCCTGACACTACTCCGAAGGTGCATTTTCTGGATTAAGTTTCATGTTGTATTTTCAGAGTAGGTCGAAAAATTCTTTGAATTGATAAGATGATCCTTATTTTCCTTGCTCTTGACCACCATGTCATTGACAAATACCTCCATTGTCTTTCTAAATTTCTCTTTGAAGATTAGGTTAACCAGTCTTTGATAGGTTGCCTCTGTATTTTTTAAGGAAAGGCATAACACGATAACAGTATGCACCTCTATCAATGACAAAATATGTCTTCTCCTTATTTGGTCTGTACATCTTGATCTGGTTGTATTTGGAGTACGTGTCTATGTAACTTAACAATTCATGCCTAGCTGTGGAATCGACAAACAAGTCTATCTGAGGTAGATGATAAGGATCATTAGGGCAATGCCTAGTTCTAGTCAGTGAAGTCCAAACAAACTCTCCACTTATTGTTCTTCTTCTACATAAGGACTACATTGGCTAGCCAATCTGGATGATGGACTTCAACAATAAATTTGGCATTCTTGAGTTTTTCAACCTTGAAGACTTTACTCCACTCTATTCCATGGTTGGTTTTTCACCAGATAATCGGTTTCATGGTTGCATCCAGATGAAAACAGTGGCAACTTATCGAATGACCAATTCCAGGCATATCTTCACCAGGCCAAGCGACTACATCCTTATTTACCTACAAAAAGGCGGTGAATAACTCTTTTTTCTTGATTCGACAACTTTCATCTGATCTTGTCCTTGTGTTCCTATCTATCAGGAAAACTTACGTAGACAGCATCTTAGTCCATTTCGGACTCCGGGGTATTGTCATCCTGGGGCCCAGGTCCATGTCGAATTTGTTGGCCCCTAGTCTATGATTGCTATGCATACTTTTTCGTCGGAGCTATGAAGCTCTATTCTCATTTCTGGATCATATTCAGGTTTTCCAGAGCATAATTGCAGATTGCAGCCACATCACCTTTCATTTCCTTTATGCCGCTAGGTGTAAGATATAAGAGTAGTTGGTTGTAAGATGAAGAAATCGTCCTTATCTTGTCAAGCCAATTTTGGCCCAAGATGATGTTGTGCGGGGTTGGAGTCTATAATATGAAAGACTTCAAGATAGTTATAGGGTTCCACATGAACCACCAAGTTCACAGTCTCAAGTGCTTGAAACGGAGCACTTTTAAAGGTATGTAAAGTAGTCTTACTCTGGTTGATGTTATCCATAATATCCATCATTTCCACTGCTTCTTTGGAGAGGATGCTAAGTCCAGTTCATTTATTTTCCGGTACGTGGTTGACTATGACATTCAAAATTTTATGACTAAGGCATTGTCTTGGAGAGTTTATATGCCCTCCAAATCTCAATCGAAGAACATTAAGATATTAGAGATGATTGGAAATGGTTTGTGGATGGAGGTTGCCAACGTCGGCTCCTTGCTTGTCACCTTCCTCTCATTTCTGGTATTGCTCAAATGTTCTTGTTCCCCATAAATACAGTTAACATTGATGGTTGGCTACTTCATTGGCCTTCGATCCTCAAACGATTCCAAATTTTGTTTAGGCTTCTTACGAGAGGTTTTGGGAGTCCAACTATGTCGTTTTTCACAGGGGTTTATATCAACAATTCCCTTACAGTCGGAATGGCCATCGTCATAGCCAGTAGCTTTTCAAATCTAAAGACGACGCCCTGACATCCTCCAGGGCTTTCACGCATCTTTCAAGGTCAACCAGATTCGATCGGTTCTCTGACCGAGAAGCCCTCAATTTTTTTTTAAGTTTGTTTACGCAATCAATAACCCTTATCAAGGCTTCCCACATTTGGTTCATGGTAGGGATAACTCTGTCGATAAAGACGCCATTGTTTCCCAAAGTGACAGAGGCATAGGGATGCTGATTACTTCCTTCATAAAAATTGGTACCAGCTTTCACCGAACTATCTGAAGTAGACATGACGTGGTAGAGTGATTTGGTTGGGGGAATTTGAGTTCACTCTAAATGAAAGCACCAATTTTTGAAACCAAATTCACACACAGCCAAAAACGGAGAAGCTGCACGAATCCGACTACCTATAAAAGAGAAAACAATCACGATTAACCTTAGGCACCGGTAGGGTACTGGCCAAAGGCTCTTTGATGGTCAAGTTAGTAAGCAATATAAGACTCAAGTAATGATCAAAAGAATAAAGTATGTGATAATTACCTTACCTAAAATGATCCCTAGATGGGTGTATTTATATTTGTTAAGGGAGAGACCAAGATGGAATTAATATTAAACTGGTAGAATCCAAGGGGATATCTAGGATTAGATATTATGTTCTCTTAGAAGTGTGGTTACTTGCGGTGCATTTCAATCCTTAGATTGTAGGAATATCCAAGAATGGTCAATCTTAATGAGGTATGTGGACTTCATTGGCCCTTCTAAGCAGCCCAATCAGATTAGAGCTGTTGGGTCCATGATCG